GTGTGTGTGTGTGTGTGTGTGTATATACCGACTATTGCGATAAATATTATCACAATGCTTCGGTGGTCGAGCTGGTTAAGACGCTCGCCCCGGAAAGTCTAGAAGTCCCAAGTTCAAATCCTGGCTGAGGTAATATTTTTCGCAATAAGTTATTTTCAGTATTTTAAAATGCTTATAAAGCATCGATTTATTAAGAATTGAAGACCAATATGATATCTCTATTCCATAGCCTCAGCTAGTGATTGCGTTTGAAGTCCGAACATTTAATCGACGCGCAGTTTAACGGCTAAACATGGAGTTAAGAAATTATATAGAACCATATAGAATTCATTAGGCATCTAATTGTAAGATCCAGCCGTGACCACAGAAGGCGCTCTTGAATTTAGTTGTATTAAAAATATTCATTGAATCTGTAGATATTAATTAAAGTATTCTTTATGTGCTTTTCTTTTAGATCGAGGAATATAAAATGAGGACGTCTAAAATGTTACAAGATTGTCAAGATTTATTAATATCGAAAGAATGGAAGGACATAACTATAACAAACGACAACGATGAGATATCCTGTATGCAGCTTCCACCGGAATGGAAATTAGACGGAAAGGTCATGAAGATCACGGTAAGTTGCATGTAGTGTACATTGAAATGAATATTATAAATTAAAAAGCTGCAGAATTTTTCAATGAGAAAAAAAATTAATTTTATAAACGATTAAAACAATTTAATCATTATTTAAGGGTATTGTCGATGCGCCTGCTAGCATAGTGATCGATTTACTGTTTGATAATATCGAGGAACAAGTTTCGTGGAACAAGCTTGTGACGGATTCAATCAAATTGCAGGTCAGTAAAATTACAATTTTTTTTACTCTCCTTTTTCCTACTAAAATGCTTTTTGTTATAACAAAATTTATTTTAAACAGTATATTGACGAAAACACGGATATTGTTTACCAAGCAACAAGGCCTTATGGCGGCGGCCTCGTTACCGCGCGAGATTTCGTTATTTTAAGAAATCGTAAGAAAAGCGACAATTATTACGTCACCGCTGTATCGGTTCCTGCGTCAGTTGAAATTCGCCCAAACGTGACAAGGTGAGATCTCAAAATTGTATATAATGCAATTTTGTAATGCACATATAAGAAAAAAAGGAAGAGAGAGAAACAAGAAAGGATTGACTCTATTACTTTAAATTATTCTTTTTTTAAGGGGTGAAAATGGTATAAGCTGTTTCGTCACAGAACAGTTACCTGATGAAGCTGATAAATGTCGTTTCACCTGGATGCTGAATACAAATTTGAAAGGCTGGATACCACAAACTGTTGTAGATAGATCTATATCCACTAGTCTAGTAAACTTCATGGCATATTTAAGGGAATACTTGAATGACATGCAAAAACCGCCAATCTAGTACATTATTCATAAAACTGATAAGCTGAAATATCTGCATTCGTTTATGTACTACGTTAGATCTACGTTTTTTTTTAATCCACTATATGTATTGACGTATACATATATAATACGTACATACATATAAAGAAAAAAGAATATTAAAATTGTAATTGTAGACTTGACAGATAATACGTTTTATAATGCGGAAGGCAAAGCGTTTTTTTTTTTTTTTTTTTTTTTTTAAGACACGCTTTGTTTGATTTTTGAACAATTCTGAAATGAATAACATTTAAGACATCAGAATTTTTTTACCAGCGAAGTGCGATTGAAGTCACAAATGTATAAAACAGAATTACAGTTTTATATAAACATAAGTATGTTCCAATTATATTTGTAACCGAATTATTCTCGTCAATTATTTTAGTGGTCGAGTGTTGATAATATTCATGTATCGACATTGAGATATAAATTTTATCTCAATGTTGACACATGAATATTATCAACACTCTGTAGAGTTTTACTTTAAAAATTGTACTTTTTTCTCATAAGATTATTTCTAACTATGATAGGCGAACAAGGAAGGGACATACTATTCTATTCTAATCATTACTCTATTCTTCTTTTATAAAGTATATCGCGTAGTAATAGTTAAGAATTATAATATATTAAATGTTTTTGGTAAGTGCCTATGAATGTTCGGTTAAGTGCATCTTCGACATACAATGTATATAGTATATCGCAAATGTGACATACGTATGTGTTTAACGCGCGCGTCTGTTCGCATATCACGCAAAAATGAAGCCGTGATATTTAAAAAGTAACATAGAAATATACTAATAATTTTTTTTATGTATTTGTTTTAGTATTTTTTACAGTTTTTCATTAAAGAGTTTTTCCTCCTTACCTTTAATTTGAATCGTAAAGCCTAATATACTGTATATCGATACTGTATATATAATGTGCATTTAAATGAAGCATGCAGTCATTAAATAGATGTCCCTAAGATTGATAGAATTATTATGCGTACGGTATGCATTGGCCAATTTCGTACATTTAATAAGAATGAACAAACGCACATTACTTTCATACGTATGAAAATTTATTTTCTCGGCTAAATTACGGAAAATGCATATACAGTTGCACGTTTATTCCTGATAATTTTTTCGTTTAATTAGCATTAGATCGGTGATATGAGCGATATAGAATGACCGCGCGATCCGACAAGCATTTAATTGTGCAATTTTAAATGATATGATTTGTATGGAGATAAAATAGTGATGATTTACGAGCACGCTTCCAATTTCGAGGAATCTTTCGTTCTATTCATGTCATCTCTGTTTATGTGATCGATGTTACGTAATAGTGTTACCTAATGTATGATAACAAGTGCGGAATGTTATAGAAAAAAAGTATATTAAGAAGAACAATGATGATAGTGATATATTAGAAAGAAGGAAATGATAGTTCGTTGATCTTTATTGATAGTTTTTAAAAAATAAGCTGTTTTCCTCGCTAAAATAATTTTGAACAAAAAATAATTGGCCTATTTTGTAGTAAAGCAACATATGTAGCTTAAGTTTATATAATTTTATGATTTGTTGAGAGAGAAAGAAATACTTTAAATTATCTAGTTGAAAGATTAATTTTACTTACCGAATACACACACACACACAAATATATTCGGTAAAATTAATCTTTTGATTTTCATATATATGTATATAAGTATATTAATAGTTAAAGTTAGATCTTCTAACGAGATCGAAAATGATATTACTTTTAAGCTGTTCAATGTATAGTATATACGTCGATTTTATACACAACGTATCCATATTATCAAATTATACTTTCATTTTTAGATATTTCATGCGTTGTGATCTACATTGTTAAAAAAGACTGCATGAATTTGACACATGACTGTATTGCATAGCGAAATAAACGCGACAGAGCATGCGTACGCTTGGATATCCTATAAAAAAAAATACTATTTTATTTATGTATGTTCATAATACTATATATATATATATCAAAATAATTTTAGTAATTTGTATTTTCTAAGTGTCGCTATATCACTTGTGCAGTATGCTCCTGCATTTTTCCTGTGGAGATATGCTTGCGCGACGCGATATTACGTTAAATAGGTCAACGAAAATGTGTCCCGCGGCAGGATAGAATAAGGATAGTATAATCCGAAGATGATTTTATAAGTCCGGCATGGATTCGGATGTTAAAAGATTTTAGCCTTAGACCAATAAATCCAAGAGGAAAGATCGTATCTCGTTGTTTTCTTAGACGCGTCAAATCTCCTGTCTTCACACAAGCGTAGCGAGATAATGGCAGCGTTGCTTTCGCTCGTTAGTTTCCATTTATTTGTAATCGTGTAAAGTTCAGCCGTTCTTGCGGCGCATAAATTATTGAACACCCATTACTCGTTGATTGTTAAACGCCAAAATATGTGCGCGCCACGCGTATATACGCGGCATACGGGGAATGGAGACACGAAGATTAATGGCAAAACGGATAGAAGCGGTAATTGCGGTAAATCCGTGTACTCTAGTATGCATTAATTAACATGATTATATGGCGGCGCACACCGATATTGCTTCACAATAATGTTACATAATTAAGCTTATCGCGCGTTCCGCATATCGTATATTTTGCATATCAAAATATCAAAAGAATTTTAATTTCATTGAATGCATAAATATGTTGTGTACTATTATGTGTGAAATAACAGTTAATGTACTCGGTTAATTTGACAGAACAACCGTAGACGTTTGCATATGAAAATCCCGCAAAATTAAAGAGATTATTCTGATACTGTTGAGGATCAAATTATAAAAAAAACTTAAATAATATTAATTATATTGTGGGATAATTAATATGATTGAAGGAAGTATTTATATATTAATAAAATTTAGACAAAAAAGCAACACTTTCCAGGGTCGTAAGTATTTTCAGCGTTACAAAATATAATCTAAATTGTCGAATATTAAACGGTGTGTAGCCCTGTAAATTTGTGTCGTTTCCGTTTGAATATCTGTTCTATGGTTATACCAGATAATACCTTAGTTTATTAGTACGTAACCACTTTGAATTCCTCGATATCGCGAGTTAATATTCTCGTAATTCAAAGCTCGATGCGGCCGGTTTCATTAGTTTACGCTTATGCGGTAGAGAAATGCAAGTTCAGCTGCAGTTCAGACCCGTCCAAATCTGACGCAGCGTTAAGATTTAGCGTGTCATGTGATCTCCACGTTCAATTTCGCGTTGATTTCGTAATGTCATGGGAATTTATCGTCCCTTATTACATCGTAAAATTATAAAGCCTTATCATCAGTTCGTGATAAATTTCTCGTGCATCTACCTATAAACAAGAGGGTAATATAAGAAGGCGTGATAAGATTATTATTTATCTTGCAGGTACGCTCCTCCTTTGTTCCTCGAAATTAAATTTAATTAATTAAACAACGCCGTGAGTACAGAACGCGCGAATTGTGAAATAAATGTCAGAGGTGATGCAAACAATTAAGATTAATATGTGTGATTCTTTTTGAAAAAGATTTATACAGAGTGCACATATATACACGTCTCATTGTTTCGGTGCGAAATATCAAAGATCAAAATATAATATATTCGAGACACGCGAACGTATAAATTGCGAATTGCCCTGTTAATTACACAATGACGCAATCTGAAAGTATAACAATGTTGCATAAAAAATTTCCTTCTTCGCGGAATCGGAAAATTTGACGTCGCGCGATTGATTAATTTGAAAAATTAACACGTGCAGACGCATGTGGATCTAATGATCGGGTGACATCGAGATAGATGATGATTCATCACTCTGTTGCAGCCGCATATAAGGATCGCACAACGTGATTATTACGAGTGCGAGCATGCACGCGAACAATAGAGAACAATATACCGCGAATCGTACGCAGAATGCAGCCGGCGGGGTAAATTGTTGGATTTTGAACGTCATTCGCGATTCCCCACACGTACCTTGTTCGCGGCGCGCGTAGCCCGCGTGCGAATTGACATTTGTATTGTTCATATTTGACTGGTATGCACGTCGTAAAAAGTCATTTCCGTTATTACGCTTGACGTAATTTGACTGGAATGGAAAGAAAAGGGATTCTCTGAATGTGTCAACGCGACGAACATTTCAGAAAATTGTATTTTTCCGGCATGACATTCATCGAAGAATAATCGTTCGTGATCTTAAATAGCAATTGCTTCGCAATTCACAACTTTAATAATTTTACATGGAAACATAATGTGTGCTTTTTAGAACGGAAAATGATATTAAAAATATACATCGTGTAATTTTTGTTTTAAACCTTCATTATAATTCTCTTTAGATTTTTGTATTAACCGCTCACCGCTAATCAACTTTTCTTCATCTTTATTTATTTGACAATTGATACCCGATCAAATAAAAAAAAGCTGCCAATTAAATTTTGAACAGGCTCATAAGAACATATATTTGTTTGTCGACTGCGACAGACAACGATTTAGCAGAAAAGGAAGCAATTTTTCAAGGCATCGCCTTATAACGCTGCTACTTACTTTATAGCGCGCGGCGCTGTACAACATTTCCTGCAGCGAAATAAACAATTTCGTCGCGATGGAAAACTCGAGAGGTATGCTGACACAAAGGCTAACGTGGCGTGGCAAAAGGGAAGGAACTCTTCAATTAGTAAAATGAAGGCTCAAAGGAAAATGAAAGTGGAGCGAAGCAGCTGGTGGAAAGGCCGACGTTTCAGATGTTGATTAAATGGGAGAGAAACGGCGCATGATAAAATCAGGATTCGCACGTATTTATTATCATATATTATTACATTAACTAAAGCGATCTTCCGTGCGGAAAAAGAAGTCTTCAATTTAAAAGTTTGATAAACGCACGCTACGCGATACACGATCTTGCATTTTGATTTACGAAGAGGAGAGCAGTAGGGTCTTTCCCGCGTGATTTTGCCATATAGGATTATTATAGCAGACCTGGCCCAATGCGCAGCTGAAATCTGCAGCTTCTACTGTATAAGCGCTTGCAAAACGAGCCGTATCGAGCTGTGAATTACGAGAATTTCAGTTCTCGATATATCGGGAAACGCAAACGCAGCTGTGTGTTAATGAGCCTGGGATATTACCTGCTAACTGCAGGAGCCAGTACTTTGGCAGAAATAATTCGAAATAATTTAATGTCGCTTAATATTCAACGACTTAGATTTCATTCTTTTTCTAGACATATAAATAATGTTTATTCGTTTTTTTTTCGTTAGATATTACAGATACTTATTTCATATCTTGGTATATTTAGACAATCTTTTAATCTAGAAATTTGGATATTCAGATACTCTCTTAATTGTTACGATATTTGAATATGATATTTAAATGTGGATCAGGTGTTTTTCGACAGCGAGATGCCGGTGACATCACTTCTTTGTCGCAGCGCGAGGACGACGGGGCAACGCGGGGGATTTTTGCGCGGGCGGACGGCTGCAGGGGCAGCATCCGTGCGGAGCAGGTGGCGCTGACGCAGGGGCCGGAGATCTCGGCGGGCGAGCCGAGCCAGTCGGCTCCGCGCTTCACGCGTGTGCGCATCTCGTGCTGCTTTTTCAACGTGCCGTCGCATTCAGCGGCTCCGAGCAGCTCCGCAAGAAAGACACAGATAGACAGATAGATAGATAGATAGATAGATAGAGAAAGAGAGAGAGAGAGAGAGAGGGAGAGAGAAAGACATTTGTACTCGCGCGGCATTGCACCGACGACTCTGACGAGCGATCAAATCGGCGCGCGCGCGGTCGATTCCGCGTGCCTCCTTTCCTCGCGGTTTATCACCGAGGGCCTACAGGGCGCCGGCCGAGGACGATGAAGACGACAAGGATGTGAGAGAGCGGCCGCGCACCTGGAGCGTCCGATACGCGGCGCGATGGCGCGGAAATGGTAAATACATTTGCCCGTTTTATTCTCATCTCCTTCGCGAGCGAACGTTCTCTCG